CTTAGCCAGGCAGCACTGCCGACGGGACTTTTAACGACCCGTTCGGTGATGCTGACCAGAGCCGCCGCATCCCAGTTCTGGGTCGTGACCCACAGTTTGAAAACCACTGATTTAGGCCTTTGTACATATGATGTCCTGCAATTTGCACACTAAGTCGAATCAGCCTATAGTCAACAATCCCCATGTCATGGGGTGCTCCCAGGGCCGGCGCTTCCACTAGGCGACCCTAGGCGGTCACCTAGGGCGACAGGATTTGGGGGGGCAGCATTTTGCCGCCCTCGGCGGAAATTCGGCGGCAGGGGGTCCTTCCGCTCCGGGTCTTCGGCGGAAATTCGGCGGCGGGTCCTTCACTCGCTCCAGGACCCGCCGCTGAAGTGCTCCGAAGACGTGGAGCGGAAGGACCCCCGCCGCCGAATGCTCAGAGGAGGAGCGCTGCCGCCTAGGGCGGCAAAAACTCTGGCACCGTTCCTGTGTGCTCCCTGCTTTCCCTCAAACTTCTGCAGCCTTGTGATCCAGGAATTGCCCAGAATCCATACACTGGCGACCCTGACAGCACACATATATTTTTACCCTCAGTGGTCAAGATACGGTCTGTGCTGTCAGTGCCAAACCTACGCACTATACAATTTTGGAAACACCATGCTAATCTGCCCCAAGGTCAGGAAGTAGCCACTTCTTACCAACCCCCAGGAGCCAGTAAAATACAGATTTTTCTCAACCAACCCAAGGTTTGCCTACTCTCTGGCCTCATTGCCCAACCTCCCGCTCCCCCCCAGCCACCCAAACGCCCCCACAAAGTCCTCTGTCTCCAGCTCCACCCCATCTGATATAACAACAATTTTCGTTAGACCAGCTGCTGACTAGTCTGCTGTGTTCACAGTAAACATCCCCATAAAATAAAAACGTTATATTATAAGAGACAATTTGCAGTAAGCAACAAGCAATTAAATCTTTATTGCACAGGTGTACAAAGGTTCGAACTAGAAAGGTCAGTGGTGGGGAGTTCCCCAGAAGAACAGCATTGGCACATTTCCTCGAACTACCCAGGCAAGCATAAAGTGGCTGTATAGAAACCCTCTCACATTCTTTTCTTTATTGGGGCATGCACACTGTGTTCCTTTCAGACTACATATCTACACAAGCTAAAAAATAAACATGTTGTTAAATACTGTTCTCAATGTGGATCCCCAAAAGATTTAGGGGTTGCCATGCACTACTTTGTGGGAAAATTGACCTATTGAGACAATGTTGACCTGCATCACCGCAACAGTTGGATCTCTAGCTCTGTGCAAAAAACAAATAAACAAAAAAACCTAGAAACTTTTTTTAAAATAGCTTATATCTCTGGAACCCCTAAATCAAATGACCTCAAATTTGCCTCTCTAACCCTACTCTGCACTCCCACCAGGCATAGCAAATTTCAAGAAAATCCATACAAGCAATTGAATTTTAGAGCACTTAAAAGCATGATACTTGAAACAGGAAGGGTACAGTTAGAGAATGGAGGGAAAGATCTCCTCTGCACATCCATCTGCAGTATCTGGGGCCTCTGAAAGGTGTGAAGTCGCCCATTCATCTGAATGTGATGTTCTCAGCTGAATGAGAACACCCCAAGCAGATGAATGCAACCTGAAACAAAATAGCTCTGAGATGTGTCAGCCACTCCATTCATCTCAGTGAGTGTTCCCATCCCCCTCCTGAGTGCTTTAGTGCAGTGCTTCTCAAAGCCGGTCCGCCGCTTGTGCAGGGAAAGCCCGTGGCGGTCTGGGCCGGTTTGTTTACCTGCCGCGTCCGCAGGTTCGGCCGATCGCGGCTCCCACTGGCCGCGGTTCACCGCTGTAGACCAATGGGGGCTGCGGGAAGCAGCGCGGGCCGAGGGATGTGCTGGCTGCCGCTTCCCGCAGCCCCCATTGGCCTCGAGCGGCAAACCTGCGGAACCTGCCCCCATTGGCCAGTGGGAGCTGCAATCGGCCGAACTTGCGGACGCAGCAGGTAAATAAACCGGCCCGGACCACCAGGGGCTTTCCCTGCACAAGTGGTGGACTAGGTTTGAGAAGCACTGGTTTAGAGGACCATGTTGAGACCACCATATTCCTTTTAAATAATACTCAAGTCATTTGAACCCAGGCCTCTAGACATTAACTGCTATGGCATTAATCCATTCTGCCTCCTAATGTATGAAGCAACTGACTGCTGTTTAACACCAGGCACAAAAGACAGCAGCAGCAGCTTTGGAGATATGTCAGACAGTTATAATGATCCCACCTCCTCCCAGTTATACCGTTTACCTTAAAGATATAACTTTGCTGTAACCTAGCATAGTTTATTTCTAGTGTAGCTATTACCTGAAAGAATCAAACCATCTAGTGATGGGTTTATCTACCATCTAATCTATCTATGTCTATATAGATATGATAGTTTAAAAGACATTGTGTAACATTTGTTTTATAAAAAATGTGTTCTATGCGAAAGGAGCTGCAAAATCAATTTTAGTTAGTCCACCCAGTGGCTTGACAAAAGCACAGGAAGCATCTATTCATAACACCTGGGTATAAGAGTGTTTTTCAGATACTTGCTCCCCAGGAAGCTGCAAGTTATGCAGGCCACGAAGGTGATTTGCTTAAAAACAGGTGTCCACTTTACTGTCGCCTTTACCAGTCTTCAGTCTATTTATGAAGAAGCATTGTCAGGGATGGTCTAGATAATACTTAGTCCTGCCTTGAGTGCAGGGGACTGAACTAGATGATCTCTCGAGGTCCCTTCCAGTTCTATGATTCTATGGTTGGTACCATAAGAGGAGGCTGGTCCACTGACCTTCTGGTAAGAGACTAAATGCAGTAACTCTATCTGGCCGCTAGAGGGTTCATGGGTTTTACAGAACTGAAAATGATGGCTCAGGAACCAAGGAGTTTTAGGATTCTCCCTGGGGTCATGGCCAGGTTAGTTTTGCAAGGCGTTATCTAGGTTTGGACCCTGGGGGGGAAAAAGGCCCACAAAACAAAAATAATTTCATCGGAGAATTATTAAGAACAATTAAACAAAGTATAATTTTTAAAACTGCTTTATTTAGACAAACACACCTATAGATAGATCGGACTTACCAGCTACCTTTTTGGTTGGAAAGCCAATGTGCACTTTCAGCATCATGACACTGAAGAGATACGTTCTTGAACAACATGTTGTAATAATTTGTGCAAACTGCATGAGACAGATTTTTGTGAACCAATTACTTCCTGGCAGTTCAGGGATGGATAAGCCCCCAGCTAAAATTCTTTTTCATTGTGGTGCTTGTAATGATGAAGATGAAATGTGATTTTCCTCTCTAACAAATCCTTTAAAAAAAAATCAGATTCCTCTGTTATGGAAAAAGAGTGCACTGCATACTGGAAGCTCTGCACTTTAAATATTTTCTACCACAACCACCCCTTTTAAAAATAAGAATGTAATACTTTTCTATGATGTATGTTTTCTACTTCATTTGGCATTAATGCTGTGTTATTAAAAGAATAATTGCAGAAAAAAGCTCTTTTGATCTAAGGCCTGATCCAAAGCCCACCGAAGTCAGTAGAAATGAAAGGTAGAGAGGTAGCAGGTATATCACCAATAATTGGATACTTCCTCATTTGTCAGCCAGGTTTCCCACACCCTGCCTGACAATTACAGAACTAAGGTTTCAAGTAGCAGTAAGCAGTAGTACTTTCCTATTCCCACTAGCAAACTTTCTTCATTAATTTCTTGGGATGCCAGACACCTAGCTTTCAATTTTTTAACATGATTTTAAAGGTTACAGCAATTGGCCCTTTACAAGGTTGTATTACCCACCTGAAACAGGTAACTGATCTCCAGAGATAAAAGTGGGGCTTAGAGGCATCTTTAGTTCTTATCAGGCTCATTCATATAAAAGCAACAGTAACTAGTGTCAGAGTTTCTGAGTTTTCAGGTTCTGAGGTATGCCCTGCCAAGCCAAATTACAAAGAGAAATGTTTTAAAAGGAAACTTCAGGAAAGGAACTTGGGAGAATTAGTGTTAGGTACAGTAAATGTAAAGAGGGTTATCTTTTCCATCTCTTATGCCTATGATTACATCTCAAATATGCTAATAAAATTCAGTGGTTCCCCCCTCCCCCCAGAAAACATGTTTCTGTGAAGACTAGAAAAAAAAAATCAACTTCTTACACTTTAAATTACCATGCAACCATCAGAAATGTACATTTGAACTCTGGAGCCTAATGAGGAAAAATATTAAATGATATCTGTGTGTATAAATATTTGGACCACTTAATGTCTGCATTTGAATGTTCCACCTGTTTGGTTTGTCACAGTCGTTTATCTATGTATATTAGGACCTTTATTTTTGTTTATCCAAAGATATAGCGCAGCACAAGTGTGAAGTATAATCTAAGAAATCAATCATTACATGCCACAAACTACACTTGAACTCAAATATGCCTTTACAGAAGCGCGGCTGCTCTGCTCATAGATATCCATCAATTTAAAGGGATTAACGGGAGGAGCCCGACCCTGGCTCCCACGGAAGCCAATGGCAAAACTCCCATTCGTCGCGGTGGGACCAAGATCGGGCGTAAACTATGCTGGGGAAGGACGCTTTAAAATACCAAACACGTGGGAAGATGGCAAACCTGAGCGTAGTGCAATGCACGTTTTATTAAAGTTCTCCAGTTTCCAAACTCCATGTTGCATACGAGCAGTCTCTCCTCGGTTCTGACTGCACGCTCCGGTCGGTCACATAGACAGCAAACACTGGACCGCTGCTGTCTGAACTGGACACCTCCACCAACAGAGCGCGTGTGCCCTGCGTCCCTCTGCCATTCCTTCCAGCCGGGGGAGAGGGGAAGCCGGGGCGGGAGGGACACTCCCTGCGATGGCAAAGGCGATGTCTGTTTCTCCTGCGCTCCTCTGGCGGGTGTTCACGTGGGCAGGGTGCCGGCTAAAGGGCTGAGATCCCCCCGGGAGGGGAGCGCGGGGGTTGTGAACGCCCTTGGCGGAGGGGCAGCAAGACACACCCACGTGCTGAGCCCCCGCGGGCTGCCCCCAGCCCAGGGGCGCGGAGGCTGGGGAAGGCTGGAACTTGTCGGGCGGGCTCTTTAGAGGTGCGGGGTGTAGAAGGGGGCCAGGTAGGCCGGGCTGAGGAACGGCGCCGCGGCCAGGGGCAGGGGAGCAGCCGCTGGGAAGAGGACATTGGCGGCGGGGTAGGAGGGGAAAGTCTGGAAGGCCAGGGCGCTAGGGCCCGGCGGGCTGGGGCTGCCGCCGCCTGCTCCGCAAGGGGGCGCCGCGGCGCTGGCTGCCGGCGGCACCGCCCCGTCCGCCCCGGGGTTCTGCTTCTTCCACTTGGTCCGTCTGTTCTGGAACCAGATTTTGACCTGGGTCTCGGTCAGGCTGAGCGACAGCGCCAGGTTGAGGCGCTCGCACACCGACAGGTAGCGGGTGGCCCTGAACTTGTTCTCCAGGGCCACCAGCTGCTCGTACGTAAAGGCCGTCCGGGCCCGCCGGGGCTTGGCGCAGCTCGGCTCGGCGCGGCGCCGCTTGGAGGCTCGCGGGGAGCCGGGATCGTCTCTCTCCTCCGGATCAGGCGAGCCGGGGAAGTCGTGCAAGCGCGGTGGGGCTGCTGCGGGCTGGCTCCGGTCCGGTCCCGGGGCCGGCTCCTCCCCCTCGCACGCGGAGCCCTCCAGTGTGGACGCCGCCTCGCTCTCTCCCTTGGAGTTGGCATCTAAGGGAAAGAAGGGGGCTGATCAGAGTGACAGGATGAGCCCTTCCCCTGCCACATCTCTGCGCCTGCCGCTGATCGGAGCTGACCTGCGCCAGCGCTCCCCTCCCGCCAGCTGCTCTCCGCACGCATCTGTGTCACCGGGGACACGCGCGGCTGGGGCAGGCGCCTGCTGCCGGCTGATGTCAATTCCACATTTGTTTATTAAACTCAGCTTGCAAAAGACACCCCCCCTTCTGCCCCCAGAATGAGCAATTTAAGGGAACTCTTCTTTCCGATCCGTCTTTAGAACGGGAGAAAACTTGGGATTTTCTTCCCTCCTAAAATATTTTTTTAAAAATCAGATATTTTTTTAAAAAATGATCATTTGCCCTTTAAGAAAAACCTGACTGTCTAATATGATAAACCCTTTATGTGCTCCAAGCTGTGGGAAACTCGTTTGTGTGCGGCGGTCATGGATCTCTGGCCAATTAAATAAGTTATTAAAGTCCCCTTTAAAGAGACAAAAATCCCCTCCCCCTTTCCATCTGCTCTTCCCCGCCGTGCTAATAGAGTTTCAGATTTGTGAGGGGCGGATCGATAGATGTCATCTATTAAAGGTAAGTTTTAATCGAACAATATTAGGATCAGGCAGGGGGAAAGAGGTTTGAAGTTGGTACTGCAAGCTGTGGGAAGGAGATATGCAGGAGTCAGTAATAGGATATCGATCAATGGGGAGCTAAGGCATCCTCTTGTGGGGACGATTTGAACAATTATCCAGCCTGGCTGTCCCAGTGCCAATCAGGGCCAGCCAACAAGCTGGAGTCGAAAACAATTGCATCTAACTTTTGGTTTCCCATCAGACCTGGGGGCGCTGCAGTATAAGCGGTGACCCGAGCAGGGTCACGGCTCAAGGAAATCTGCACCTAATGACCTTTCTCCCAAAGCAGTTTTCCATGGCAACTTCTTAAAGGTGACATGTCCCCACACCAGGAGCGGCTTACCGCGGCTGCCTGCCCTTCCTTGGGAAACATTCTGCGGAAGGGGTTAATAAATATCTCCGTGACACAGGCTGCACGAGCCAATTTTGACTTATGCTCATCAGCAATGTATTGCTGTTCTGTGGGAGTCCTGGCTCTACTCCCATTCTAATTCAGGTGCTCAAATGGTTCAGCATCAAAACGAGACAGTCAACTAGCTTTTTTTTTTTTTATCGTCATGTTTTAAACAAAATACAGACCCGTTCTATTGCCTGTTACATGACCTCTTCCTGCACACCAGCTAAACACCTCGCAAACACACTAAAACAGAATCCTCATTGTTTTTAATCCCATTTGTTTTAGAATGCGCACACAATTTATGGAACCGACCCCTTTCAGCTGATAGACAGGACACTGTTTCCTATTAATTTGTTTGAAAATAACCATGCAGATTGAATGCATTCCTACCATATGCCTCTAGTGTATCCCTGCTGCTCCTTTGATTCGCGGTATCCTTTTCTACTTCAACTCTGCCAAAACTTTTCTCTTGCTCTCCTGAATGCGAGATGCTGCCCCTGCTCTGTGCCGCCGGATTGCTTTTCCTGGTAAATTTCTGGGGATCCAGGATGTCTAAGATGGAGAAGGAGATTTTATGATGGATGGGGGCCACCTTGGCCCCACTGTCCTGACATTCCAGCATTCCCCCCTCAAAGATCCCGAAAGAGTTGTGGTGCCCCCAGACAAATGCACGGACAATTGGCCAACTGCTCGCAGGGAGGAGAGACGTGATGCCAAAGATGCCTTCGCTCGATGCGTGGCTTTCAGTCCTGCTCGCCGCAGGTTAGATCCCCCGGGGACGCTGTCCGTAGGAGGAAGAGTCCTGAGGTGTGCAAGCTTGCGCTTTGCAGATGTCCTTCTGGAGTGAAGCGGCTCCTCTGCTTCGGTCTAGGAGGAGGATGCAGGCTTGGAAAGTGAAAGGGTTGGAAGTGGGGGTGGGGGCAGAGGAGGGGGCTGCACAGCCATTGGCACTTTCTCCGCTTTCCGACCAGCCTGGCTGCCCCAGCCACGTGGAGAGAGCAGCGCAGGCTGCCTTCAGAGGGGTCTTTGAAAGCTGCACTAGTGTCATTAAGGCAAGAGCCGCCGGTTGGATCTCACACACGCAGCTTGTGTGTGTGTGTGTGTGTGTGTGGTGTGAGCGAGACATGTCTCCCAGAGTAACATGTCATGGGGAGGGTGGGTTAACCCCTGCAGAGGGTGGGTTAAAATCCCAGAGGAGCACAGATGTTTGATTTGGGGGAATCTATAGCTCCACTTACAAATGAATGACGGAGTCTAGTTTGAACCTAGCACTTTGGACATCGCAGTACCAACATGCATAACGTGTGCCCTTTCCTTAGAGGCCACCGGGGAACAGCAACATGTTGTGACAACGTGTATACAAAGTTTGCCGCTTCCGCACGTTCTCAGGTGCAGAAAACCCCATGGCTTCGAAAATCTCCACTCCAGATCTGACCTGGATTCACAATATGATTGGGGAAAGTGCATAGAAATTGCAATGCTTTCAACCCTCCGATGGACCATTTCAGGCCCGCCAGCCCCTTTGCCGGCCAAAATCGCCCCGACCCTACACACGCCTTTGTAGCAGAAAAGGTTCTAATAGCGAGGTTGTCCTACAGGAGTTTCATTGCACACTGATTTTAAAACCCACTGAAATACGTTGATTCCAAAAATGTGTTTTAATTGACAATGGTGCAAGGTCGGAGGCATCAGGCAGACATTAAAAGAGAACTCAGTATCCTCAGAGTGCAAGGAATTCAAAGGACTTCTAAGCAATCAGTTCACAGGGTAAGTCTCTTTGCGGTTTGGGAACACATCACACCCCTTGTAGGCCGAACAGGTTGCAGCCTGGGACATGACATGACATCTTTTAAAGGCAAATTAGAAGGTTTTTCAAGGACCATCCATCCGGAAATAGCACTGGGAGGCTAATGATCTCCTTTCCCCACCCCTCCTGCAACCTTCTGACTGCCAACCCCTCTCGATTTTGTTATGGAGCAATAGGTTAGCAATTAATATTGTCTTAGCAGGTATGAAATAGGAAGAGGAGGAGAAACCACCTCATTATAGCTCTAGGCCTCCTATACCCAGCTGGCATTGTAAATGAGCTTTTAAAGCAGCAATGTCCTTTTAGCATTTCTCATTCAAACGGCCACTTCTCCACCCCTTGCCTGCTGCAGTATTCATCCAGGCTCTAAAACACCTACCAACTTCCCCGCTAAAATCCTCTATAATGCAAACCATCTACTAGCTGGGATTTTACCTTCAGCATTCAGCGAAGGAGGGACTGAACCTGTTTTACAGCCTCAAGAGAAAGTAAAATAAGTCAAATATGAAAACAGACTAAAGTAAGAGTGATCTAAGTAGCATCTTCTAAAATTCAAGAATTTTAATAATTAAACAAACAAATCACAGGGCTTAGGTTATTGCTATTTAAATATATATTATCTTTATACAGCATGGTCAAATTTTCTTGAGCAACTGCATACATATGGCTTCTGTTATTCCAGCATTATTATGTTACCACCTAGCACAGAGTACAGTATAAACCACCTTTAGATCTAAGGGCTTGATCCTGCATTCCTTGTGTATCCAAGTTCCCAGTGAAGTCAGTGGGAGTTTGCAAAGTATGCAGGATTGAGCCTTCTGTTTTAAAAAGTCCCAGAAAAATATTAAGCACTTATATGGCATTTTATGTCATCTAAATGTGGTTCAAAGATTAAGAATTAGATCCTGCACTCATTGAATTCCTTGAGGAATTGTGGCATTGTAGGGTTGTGGCATTGACATCAGTGACAAAACTATGGGCCTGACCCAAAACCTACTGAAGTAAAAGAGAGTCTTGCCATTAGCCCCAGTGGGTTTTGGATCAGCCCCTATGTCACCACACTGCATGAAGGGCAGCATTGGGTCCAAGCTAATTAATCCTCACAGTACCCCTATGGAGTATATATGATTCCTCTTTTATGGATGAGGAAGCTGAGGCACAAGTGAGGTGAGTGAGTTACCCAAGCTCGCACACCAAGTCAGTGGCAGAAATAAATATTTATATACTACAGTATTGAACAAGAGGTTATAATCATGCTTGCTCTCTCTCTCTCTGTCTCACTCTCGGCAGATTAAGGTGATGGCTTGATTCTCCCCTACCACAGGACAGGAATAACTCTCAATGGAAGTGACTCCTATTCTACAGGAGAATAAAATCCTCTATTCATATATAAAACACGTAGAGGGCTGGCAAAAGCAGGGCATGCTTCTCTATACCACTCAACCAGTGTGCCATCCCCCTGCTCTGACAGGACCACAACTAGGGATGGTGGGAGTCCCCATAACCAGTTTAAGCAATCACAGAGCTGTATATTTTTTAAACTTCACACTAACTAAACTGTGTGTACAGTATCTATAAGGTGGATTTTCTTCTCACACTCTGGCGTTTGCATTTGACCTGACAAATCAGGATGAACATTGAAAAAAGGAATATTATTTGTGGGTGAAGGATTTGGGGATGGCAATATTAATGTTGTCTATATTTGGGAATCATCTTGTTAACACGTATTTTGCACTGTAGTTTGCCATTGATTCTGCCACCCTTATTCATGTTGAGTAGTATCTTACACTGCCAATTGTCCCATTGAAATTAATTATTTTTAGGGTGCTCAGAGCTTCTGTATGGATAAAATTATTGTTAAATCTAAAGAAATAAAACAAAACAAAATATGACAGTACTAAGGTAATGGAATTAAAAGTGGCAGAATCTGACCCTTATTTTCCATTTTGATATCACAGAACCTAAAATAATTGAATAGGAAGAAAGAGAGACAAAAAAGATGAAGATGTGCAGGAATCAAATTACAGAATTATTATGATTAATTATTATCATCATTTATATTATGGCAGTGCCCAAATGCCACAATTAGTGTGGTGTTCTACTGTCCTGAGCACTATACAAACATAAAAAAGAGACAATCTTTGACTTGAAGGGCTTCCAATCTAAAGGTACAAACAGACAGTGGGTAGGGACAAATGAACCTAGTAAAGAATTGGCACTGCTTTGTTAGATACTTAGATTGTATTTTTTTTTAATTGGGATAGAGGTAGGGAAGAAGGGAGTAGGAAAAGGAAAGAAGGGGAAGAGTAATAGTCACAGCCAGGGCTGCCCAGAGGGGAGGGCAAGTGGGGCAATTTGCCAGGGCTGCCCAGAGGGGCCCCCACAAGAATATAGTATTCTATTGTATTGCAACTTTTTTTTTATGGAAGGGGCCCCCAAAATTGCTTTGCCCCAGGCCCCCTGAATCCTCTGGGTGGCCCTGGTCACAGCTTATGGATATCGTTCTTAGTGTGATCAACTAAGGAAAATAGATACCAGACCTTTAAATATTTCTTATCAAGATGTCTGAAACGTGATCCTCTTTAAAACTCAACACGCTAGTCCTAGTAACTGTGGTGTAACGAATTACTTAGAAACAGTTATGATGCCATCGCAGATGCTGTGATATGGAAATATTCCTCTGGTCCATGTATGCATTAACTTAACTTAAAGCACATGCATAGGTCTTTGCAGGATCAGGGCCTTATTTTGGAAGAGAAAATCCCAACCATCTCATATATGTAAGATTACAAAATATAGCCTTGTGGATATATTTTAATATTGTGGCTGTACAATTGTAAAAGGTGAGTTGTAGTAATGGAATTCTTAAAGATAAAAATTTTTGAGCTAGCAGATATCTTCATATATTGTCAGTTTAACATACACATGTGCACACACACACATATTAGTCTTAACTGTTTGCTTGAAGTTGGTTCCTTTCTCAGCTCAGGCATTAAAATTCAGTCTGAGTCCTGTCTTTAAATTGCTTTGATGCTAGGTGGGTTTCAACCCTGACCTGTCCTGACGGCAAGTGATGGCTGTAACAAGCTCTGGATCAATATTCATAGCGGGTGTCCTGGACTGATAACACTATCCAAGACAATGTTCACTATCAGTGTGGACAGCTGAGATATTGCACCATTAGCGATGTTGTTTTAAATAACCTGATCCATTTCTGGGTCTATTTAATGAATTTCACTGTTTAGATATTATCTGTAAGGAGAAGCCAGCGGCTATTCCAGAAGCAGTGATGCAAATCAGTGGTGCCAAGGCTACTCTGCTTTTTTTCAAAACAAAGTGGACTATAATTCCAACACAGTTTCTTATATTTTATGTGAATTGTGGCAGGCTATTGCTAGTATTAAGAACAAAAACTAGCTGCATTGTATCAAGGGGAAAACAATATTATCAGTAAGGCTGGAACACAACTGATAAAATCTTACCCATGATTATAAAATAGTGAGGATTAGTCCAATTCTTTATGTGCAGGCTAGTGTTTTTTCAATTGTTTCTATGAGGTAGTGGGATGTACTGTATGTAAAGGCACAAACTTTGTAAGGTACAGCTTAGTCTGTATTTTGGCTGGGTCAAAATGGTCTTGCCAGGCTTTCTGCTACTTTTTTGATCAACACAGCCTCAGTTAAAATCAATATGCTCTCTATGGGTCCCATTTTATACTTACATCAAATCTCTACTACACTGCAAAAATGTGCATGGTAATATGCCTGTGCTGCAAATGCTGAGCTTAAAAAGCAGTCAATATAACAAATGGGATC